TGAGGTTGAAGAAGTTTTAGACTCAAGGCGGCGCCAAAATAGGTTAAAATATCTTTTTCATTGGTGTAGATATGATATTACTGAATACACATGGGAGCTAACTAAGAATCTTGAAAATACAATAAAGAAGGTTGATGCTTTTCATTATTAACATCCATTAAAACCAAGATGAAGAATAACAAATCTTTGTTGTAAAAGAAATATAATTCACAAAAAATTGCATTCTACCTTATATTTTTATTTTTAGTTTCTATGTATTTGTAGCACTAAGAAGAAAGAGAACCAATAACCATCAAATTCAATTCAAGAACTATCATTTGCTAAGTTATCAAACTAGATATTGCAACCGTCACAATCTTTAAGACGAGAAAATAGAGATGAAGACCTTCAAGAACAACATATTCTTCCTTAAAAAGATGGTGAAATATAATGTAGTTGGTATCACAACCTTGGAAGATACTTTCAATTCTTGATGATATTATTAGATGTAGGAACCACTCTCGACAGTGTTTCAAATGTTATATTTGAAAGAAGTTACAAAGGCCTTAACAATGATCAAATAATAGGGTGGTCTTTTTGCCATAGTATGGAATAATATTGATGACTAAGAGGAGCTATCAACTATCTTTGAAGGAAATAAAGATTAAAGTATGTGATAAATATAATTTGTTATATCTTCAACTATATCAATATATGAATATCACTTCTTATAGAAGTTGTCTATAGAAGAGAGGAGGGAGGGGAGATAATGCTATAGATATATATATTTATCTAGACAAGAAGTATTAGTATTATTGACATATATATTTACTAAATTAAAGAGTATTAAGTAGAAGATAAATGTAGGTAGATTGAATATTATCTTATGGCAAAACTTCTTAGAAGCTTCATAGACTCGTATGTGACTTTATACATGTTTATACATAATTGATAGATTAGAAGCTTGATTAACGAGTTAGCCATATGTCGCACATATGGGTAGCTTGTGGTACAAGCTAATGATATGGTGTACATATAAGAAACTTACCTTGCAAGTTAAAACATGTATTGGAGGTCCTATAGAACATCGCCACATAACTCTTACTTAGATAATATATATAGAAACAAGAGTGAAGCATTTTTCAATCTTATCAACGACTCTCTAGTCTTTAAATTTATTTCAAAACTTTTTAGTCTTCTTATCTTTGACAATAGCCATTTTAGTTTAATATTATACTATCTTTGAGTGATTATTTAGTATTTTTTAATAACACAACAATGTATTGAACTTTTAGTTCTTTGAGATTCATATCCTTGATACTTAGATATAATTTAAATGTAGGTAGATTTAATATTATCTTATGGCAAAGCTTCTTAGAAGCTTCATAGATGCATATTTGACTTTATACATGCATATAGTTGATTATTAGGTTAAAAATTTGGCCAATAAGTTAATTAAGTATCGCACTTGTTAGTAGCTTGAAGACCAAGTTAACCACGTGGCATTCATATAGGAAACTTGTCTTATAAGTTAGACATATATCTCACAAGTTAGACATGTATTAGAGGTCCTATAAAAAATTGCCACATAACTCTTAGTTAGATAGTATACATGGATGTAAGAGTGAAGTCTTCTTTATTCTTATCAATGCCTTTTTTTTTTTTAGTCTTGTTTCAAGAAACTCAAGTTTTCTTATCTTTGGCAATGGAAATTTTAGTTCAATATTACACCATTTTTTAGTATTTATTTAGTATTTTTTTGAGTGACACAATAGTATATTAATGTTTTGATTCTTTGAAATTCATGTCTTTGACAATTTTACAAGTTGTAGATTATATATATATATATATATATATATATATATATATATATATATATATATATATATATATATATATATTTTATTTCTTAAAATTGATTTTTTTTAAAGATTATATATTACTTTTTTTATAAAAATATTTAATTCATATTAGAAGTTGCAGATTATTATTTTATAATTTGACTTGTAGATTTATTAAAGACATTTATTATAGATATAGAAGATAAAAAAATCATAAATGATACACTTAATGGAAGTGAGTATAGATTTTCAACTATTAAATATTTTCATGAGCTTATCAATATTCTTTGAGCAAAAATTTTACATATTGCCGATGTCAATCATAGAAGTACTATTCATATACCTATAGAAGAAATTGATAATGAGGTCTAATGTCTACACTAAAAAATTATGTAATTATGAGGAGCAAGTAGAACGACTTTGACATTATATATATATATATAAAATAAATTTTCTTATATATATATATAATAAATTTGAGGAGTGAGTAGACCAACTTAGACTACTTTGAATTGTGACAAGAACAAATATTTGATTGGAGAGGAGTAAATCAAGTTATAATAACTTTCAAGTTTTTATAAATTTATTTTTCAAGACTAAAATCTATGCAAATGATACAATTCAATTTAAATTATTCATACTAGAAGAAAATAACAAATATTATTGTAAAAATTCGTATTTATATTGTAGTTAAATAAGTCATAAGGTACACAACTTTTGCATCAAAATAGGATTTAAAATAAAAAACGTAAATTTAAGTATGATAAAGTTAAAAAATAAAAATGTCTATTTACAATAGGGACCTTTTAGTTGGATAATTTTAGACTATCAAATATAAGTCTAATATTACCTCTAGATCTTATACCTTATTTTAAACTTTCTATAATTATTATAACTTTAATTCTTAAATTTTCAACTCAAGCACTTTTAGACATTGGAACCTTAATATGTTTTATAAATAAAGACTTTGTATTACAACAAGAATAGATACTTTCAAAGAAGATCCAACAAACTCTAATAGATGCTATGAATAAAAAAATTCTTTTATTTGGAGATATCATAGAAGAAACTAAATTATTGAAAGTAGTATTAAAAGATCAAGTATCTAATATTGTCTTCAACATCATTTAATATCCTTTAAATCTAGTGGTATTTGACCTCCTTGGATTTGAATTACATAATGTTGATATTGATTAGAAATTACAAAAGATCACTTCAAGATCTAATTCCAATAACAACAAATTATCATGATTTTTATTTATGAGAGCCAAAGTATTTATACAAGTTGCAAAAGCTAACACACTTGTAAGTTTTATACCACTAAATCTTTATTTAAATAAGGATTGGAATAGAATCTGAAAAAAAATATAAAGATTACCAAAATGTATTTGAAAAGAAGAATGTTAATATATTACTACAATATTGACCTTGGAATTATACAAATAATCTTCAAGAAGAAACTCAACCACTATTTAGACCAACTTGTTTGAAAGTAGCTATAAAGGCCTTAATAATAATCAAATAACTAAGTGGTCTTTTTATTATGGTGTAAAACATTATCAATAGTTAAAATGACCTATCAACCACATGCATATAGAACAAAGATTAGATTTTGTTATTAAGACCATTTGAGGGATCTTGAACTTCATCAACTTGTAAAGCAATGATATAACTTTTCATAGAACTTATTGCCTAAAAGAAGAGATAATATAACTAGCAACCATATTCACTAGTATATTTAATTAAGAATTGAAGCAAAACTAATAATTAATATATATATATATATATATATATATATATATATATTGAAAGTTTTGATTATGAATTGAAGAAATTTTTATAATCTACAAAGCATATAATGTCTACATGGTTTGTTAAGAATCATATTTTAATATAATAACATTGCAATCTACTTGAATTTTATATACATAAGTCTATACTAGAAATCATGAATATGTATTGAAAAATCCAAATGGTTGTATGGAAAAATCTTTAAAGAGAACTTATAAAATAATAACTATTGGATTAAATCTTCTAAAATTGATGTATACTTCAAAAAATCTTTAAATTCTTAATTAACATATTTGTCTTTATTTTCTTTTATGATGTATTCTTTTATTAATTAAATCTATTGTTTGAATGTATTTGTATTCTTCTTAGAAATTATACAAATTCTCTTGTTATATGATTACATGTTCCTTATTTTAATAAAATCTTAACTTTCTTTTTTTTATATTTTTTAATTCTTAAAGATTTGCACTATTTTTCTATTTCTTATCTGATTTACTTTTATAACCTCATTCCAATAATATTAAATTCAAACTAGATTATTTTAGACACAATTGCAACTATATCTATCATACAACCTCTTATAAGTATTATAAAATATTATTGGCTATTTAATACATTTTTGCACAATAACCTCCAAACTTGTGTATTCTAAATGAAAGTTGTCTGTGGAGATTATCCATGGAATGATATTTAAGCACATGATTTATTTTCACTTATTACTTTTTAAGATTAAAAATATATATATAGTAGAAACTCTTGTGCTATACTTAGACCCTTTAGTCATAATGGAATTGGCATTGAGCTGGTATAAAAATATTAGATAAGTATAAAATCCAAATGATTCTCTAAACCAATTTTTTAAAATAAATCATAAATCTTTAATCCTATCTAATTTCCTAAGAGTATTTTTATGTTTTTGTTTATATATTTTTTTAAAACCCCAAGCACTTAACCTTCCATCCCTACTACTAAGATTTTAACCTACACTTATACAGCCAATATTTTAGGAACTTCCAACAATTGATTAACCATCAATAAGTTGCTCACAAAATCCGAAGCAACTATCCAACTTCCATGTTTATAGGCACGCATGAATAAAAGAAAAATGAAGTAAAAAGGATAAAAAGCAAACTAGGTACTTGTTATGCAAAATCAATACTCATTACCCTCATTTCTCTTACACTGCTACCACTATCAAAAGTAAGCAAAATACATCAGAGAATATACAATAAGATTGGTACCAATCTTACATCGTTAGTTTCTTCAGTTGCCATGTAAAGCTGGGTAGGTGGCATAGGCACCGTTCGAGGAAATGTGCCACCTTGCGCCGACCGCCGAACCAGTCCAAGGCTGCACATTTACGTCAGGATGTCGAATTCAAGCATATATTTCGGCCACCGAGGCCGATGTACACCAAGTGGACACACACACACTCACACATAGTCAGTCAGTCGCCGAATATAGCAAATCTGGGCATGGCACGGTGTTTGTAGCAGGCCCCATCTGAGCAGCAGCAGCAGCCCAGATTCGGAGCCCAATCAAGTGATCATCTGATGATTCTGCTCATCTGGGATGTGGTCTCGGTCGTGGCATCAAATTGCTTGCTTTTATGCTTCTTCGTTGGAACGCAGTGTTTTCTTTGCTTCCAGTGGCTCTAGATGTGTTCGCGGAGGAGTCTCAGTGTATAGTTGTGGTGCTGCAACGAGGTTGAGGTTCTTCGATTGGACTGCAGGTTTCCTACGGGGTTGAAACTGAGCAGCTTGCTTGATCCTTGTCAGTATTTTTTTTCTTTTTTTCTTCCATTTCGCTCACGTGATGCTTGTTTTTTTTTTCACGACCGAGAATTTTCTATCTAGCTTGAGGACTTTCACAGTTGAGGTTAGGCGAAGGATTAGGTTGGAAGGGACAGAATCGTGTGCGTTGTGATTAGGGTCTCTGGAGGACGAGATCTGGGGCGAACTGGTCGAGTTGAGAATTTTAGGTTAAAGGTGTGATTCACAGTCCAGTCGAGTGGTGTCTAGTTGAGATGGTGGGCGCTGCTCAAGAGTGTGATCTCACGTGTTGTTTGTGTTGATTGACACCACAGATTTGAAGCTATGACGTTACCCAGCTTGTGGCCTGGCATGTTGGACTTGTGGCCAATCAACCCACATTTGCCTCTACCCGGCATCATCCACGGGCTCTTAGTGTCCGTCTTCGTACTTTCTCCGTTTCCGTTTTATTGGTACTTGTGGACATACCCTAAGAAGTGGATAAAAATCTGCGAAGGCGTCGACCCATCTCACCGAATGGCCCAAATTGCTCACATTCTCAAGTCTCTACAAATTATCAGTGTCGTCTCCGTTGCAACGTTCTCCCCACCTCCACTTATTTGTGTAGTACTGTTCGCACTTGGGCAGATTCTGAATTACAGGTAATTGGGCCTTTCTAACCATTCTAGGTGCTCCCCCTTGCTGAGCTTTTAGATACGTTTCCTGTGCTTAAGGACAGTATTTTCAATTATCTATAACCCACCTCCAAAACTATCTACTATTGTACTTATCAGTTCGGCTTTTGCTCAGAATTTCTTCATTCTTTTTTTTATAATTTGCCTCACAACATGTTGCTTTATTACCTGTGTTTATGGCAGGGTGTATGATCTGCTGGGGGAAGAAGGAGTATACTACGGAGGGTGCTTTGGGAAGGACCTTCCATGGGTGGAGAAGTTCCCCTTCGGCTACTTCAGAGATCCACAGTACGTTGGCTCGATTATGAGTCTCCTTGGGGTTTCGTGTTGGGTGCCGTTTCCCTTCATAGCCTTGTGGACTGTCGGTTACGTATTCATGATGTTTCTTGAGCAAGAAGACCCCAAAAGCAGGGCAGTTCATATCTCCTGAGCAGCACCTAGTCTTTTAGTTCTGTTTTGTATGTATCCAGATCGCTAAATTCCATTCTTCAAACCTGTTTTCAGCCTCCTTAGCTTCCATTGCTTGCCATAGATGTTGGTTTCCTCCCAGTGCTGTAGTTCGAGCTTTTGGGTGAATTTTCTGCATGGCCTTCCTTCGCTTGAGTCTCTCATCCAGTGAAAGCCAGCTACCTCTCAAAGCTTCTGTGGTTTCCATTGATTGACGGAAGCTGTCTTTCGCTGTATGCCGGTTTTCCACTGAATAATCTGAGAACCATAGGAATTGGAAATATGTTGAGAGGTAGATAACATTTAGATAGAAGGTTGCGCTGGACTTTACACAAGTAGTAAAAAGTTTCAGACTGCTAGAATGTAACAAACTAGACAGCATTCCCAAAAGTCTGAAACTTGTTTGTTTTCAATTAATATTTCATATTGTCTGAACTTTTTGACACTTGTGAGCACACTGTTCAGTGACCGAGTTCCAGACTGTATTATTACTATTATTATTTTTTTTATTATTATTGTGTTTGCTTTTTTGTTAGTATAATTATGTGTGATTTTTCTTGTAATCTAGGTTAAATGATAGGTTCCTTTAAAATAGAGATCTGTGAAGTTGCCATGTAGATATGTCTTACAGGGCGTGCAGCGGAAATGTGTCAAGATGCATTTCTCCATCAAAATATAGTATTTAGAATACAAACTGCATAGCTTCATCAATAAATCCTCAGAAATGACTTTCGTGTTGTTTTTCATTCAAATTCTTTAAGATCTTGGTTTTAAAACTGATGTTAGATGGTTTTAATATTTTATTGGATTAAAACGAAAGATGTTTGGATGTGCTTAACTGAATAGTGTGAACATTTCATCATCATCATAGGTATTATGATTATTATTATTATTATTTCTTTCTCTGGTCAACACCACTTATCATCTCACGCAATGATACAGTTTTCTGAATTTCGTTTTAACAAATATTTATTCTAATTTATCGTCATCTAGTATAACTCAGATTTCCAAAGCAAATATGTTTTGATTCGATTCTGCATCAAATAACAACTTGAGATTGCGAAGTTTTTCAATTCTCACATTGATCAAGAAATAGGATCTGAGAATTTTAAGGAATTTCCAGAGAAAATGCTTTATGATACAAATTTAATTTTTATAAAAATACCATTCATATCTATTCTTAACATTGTTACAAAATCACAAGTCAGATTGAATAAGCTGAACTTAACAAACCATTCAAAGAAAAAAAAAATAGATTCACATTGTTTATTGTACAAGTAGGATCTTAAGTAAAATGTTTCTTACTTCACAACCTATATTTTTCATCAACTTTATGTATATAGAAGTGTATTGTGTGTCTTTATTTATACTTATGTGTGTGGGTTCAGAAAGACTAAGGTTTAGTTGTACAATATATAGATGCTGATTATTAGGACAAGTGTTTTATTACAAAGGAAATTGTAATTACATGCGCTGATTCTAATTAAGGTACTCGAGTTGAAAACTGTCTAATTCAGGAACTTGAGTTGAAATTTTAATACAACTCAAACTTGATTGTCTAATTGCTTTATCTTGGATTTTGTTTGTATAAGTTTGTCGAAGGAATTTATCTGTGGTCCTTCAAATACAAAAAGTGCATGTTAATAATTGTTGTGTGTTGTTGCACCTTCCTATGCAAATTGGTAGTATTGATGAGAGAATTTTCAGCATTCTTTTAAATATATACATATATATATATATTATTTTAATAATGTCATTGAAATAAATAAATAAATAAAAATACAACTAGAGCAATATTAGCACAGAAATGAAATAAATTTAAATTTTAGAATATAAAAACATGAAGTTTTAAAAATCTGAAATACAAATGTGGACCCCATCTTACCCACACTAGATGTGTGAGGAATTCGTTTCGAAAACAATCCGAAGTTTTATTAGCAATGCAGACATGTAGCCCACTACATTGAAACTCACTAACATGCTACCACAACCCATAACTGAATATCTGTATTGATCCCATGTCTAGGTCTTATTTCAGAGTCCTTGTAATTCAAGCTCACTAAACAGTACTGAACAGTGGCAACTGGGTTCTACAAGTTCATGCAGAGGTGTGCTCGGATGAATCGGCAGCCGTGGCTTTGCCCTTCTCTGATGGAGCAGTTGAGGAAGAGGTGTGTGGTGTTGCTGCTGCTGCTGCTGCTGCTGCATCGCCATCTCTCACAGGGATCTTGCGAACCTCGGGTGACTTCATGGTGAGCTTGGGTATGGTGATCGTCAAAGTCTCGTCAGTTACATCAGCTTTGATCTGCTCCATGTCTGCGTTCTCTGGCAACTTGAACTTGCGCATGAAGCTGCAGCTTGTAGGTTTCTTCTCTTTGCACTGGGAGTCGGACGGAGCTTCACCCTCCTTGGCGTCCATTTTGGACTCGCTGTTGTAACTGAGGTATAGTGTTCGATCTTCTATCTGGATGTTCAACTCCTCCTTCTTTAAGCCTGCACATGAGGTAATAGGGTGTTATACACACCGCACACTAAGAGAGTAGTGAGGATTGCATACCACGGACAATTTGTGTCGAGGGGATACAACAGTTGGGAAAATCAAGTTCTTGAGCGTGATGTAGTCGAAATGTCAGAGGGTCACTGAGAAAGATTTCTATACATACCTGGCAGGCGAAGCTTGAAGGTGTGAGCCTCTGATGTCTCATCCCATCTCACCAAACGAGTGTTGTGTAGAGAAGGGCTTTTCACTTGGGGACAAGCCTGTCTTTGCAGAGGAACTTTGACGATAACCAGGTCGGTGAACAATGAAGGACGCCTCACGCGAAAATTGGTACGCCTGGCGCACCCTTGCCCAAACCACGGTGACAAAACAAGAGCCATCTGTTGGTATGCAGGAATCTGAATGAAAGGACACTGATTGAGAAGTCGAGAACAGTGAAGCTCGATCACAAAAATGATCAAGATTGAAGATGAGTGCTCAGTTCTTCGCGGTGTAGCTGCAATTAGGAGGATTTGAAAGCGATTGATATGAATCCGGATAACCTCAGTGATACATTTATACGGAGTGAAGATGGTGAGACGTGGGACTCTACCGGGTAGACGTTGGATCCTCCAGAAAGACCTGGAAGAGCTCGGAAGAACCGAAGTCGGTTCACCTCCTGAGCTGCATCACTTACTGCTTTACCTCGTCGTTTTCAGAACAATCAGCCATGAAATCGCCCCATCCAGCCCACCGCTATTTTGTGCAGTATGAACTGCGAAAAAAAAAGTTCCAATAGAGGGATTGTTTGTTACGAAACTTATTCTGTTCACTTGTGCTTGAATGTCCAGGTGGGTCACCGACCGGGCGCCGATCAAGGACGAAAGTTAGCTTAGTTCCACCTCGAAACTGTTGCCGATTCAGTCCCTTGGATCATGAGATGTAACGGTGGTAGTTGACCAGCTGCCACACCACGGAGGAGTGAGCGCCAAGGCTAAGACACTTTTGGATCCTTCGACATTTCTCTAGATCATTCTGTGACTTTGGACTCATTAACACATAAAATGAATAGGGAGTAACCGAGCGAAGTACCTGAAGGGAGACCGTTATTTCCTGTCGGTGCCGAACACGATGAATCACCCATCATCAATCTTCACTAATTATAACCTGAATTCTACATGGTTCTTCTTTTATTTGTCACAATTCGTGCTGGAAGGAGCCCAAAAAAAAATGTCCCAACGATACGGTCTGTGTGACAACAAACAGAGTCGTGCTCAGCAGGATTCGAACCTGCGCGGGCAGAGCCCACATGATTTCTAGTCATGCCCGATAACCACTCCGGCATGAGCACAGCCGTAATAAACGCATGTCAGAAGTTTTCAACTAACAATATTTATCTAGTTCACCTTATTTATCTACGACAAGTTGTCTTTGCATTCTACACGAAAGAAGACAGCAATGCATTTCTTTTGTTGCGAATAAACTGCCGAACGGAGTCCAGTTAGCAACATTGCACCGCGACATAACAATAGCGATTTGAGTAACGAACCTTTTTCACAAATAGAGGAAAAGATGTCCTGGAGTCGCATATAACTTTTGTAAGAAAATTTACTAACACGTAGAAAGGTGAGGACACAGGAATAGAGTAATAAGGCTCACCATCTGCAGTCAATTCTGGCAGCAAACTTCCCTGAAAATATGGACGTCAGATTCATAACCTGATCTTCTCTGTGTCCAGTTTAGATGAAGGTCACTTCAATAAAACTGGTGTCCCCAAGCAAAGAGGCAGAGAAAAGAATGGCCTTCCGACCACTATTGGGGAAGTGCATAAAACAAAACAAAACCAAAAAAATAAGAGAACGGTATTAAAAGTTAATACTTACAACTAATAATCACAACAGAGCAGAAATTCCCACAACACACGAAGCCAACTAGTATGTGTGAATCGAAGTATTGTAGTCCAACAAAGTTCACTCCATTGTCGCGTAATTGTCCCGCCGCCACCAAACTACAAATGTCGCTCAGGAAATTCGCTGGCGATGCTGGTCACAGCGTTCACAACAAATATCTGAACATGTTTAAAGCGCTCTATTTGTGGTGAGAGTAAATTGTAAATAGACAGAAACTTTGCCAGATAGGTGCAAGAGATGCTCAAAAGACATGCATTTTAAAGACAACCCTCGCTTAGAGATAATAACATGATGTTTGAAGTCCTTGTTTGATGCTCACAATGAAGTTTCAACGTGCCTCGCTTCAGAATTACGATCCCATGTGTAGCATATATTAAATCCAGACGTACAGTACCTCAGAGATGTCTACTTGATATTAATATGGCTGTATCACGTCAAGGTAAAATCTAGCAGGAAGCCCCTAGCTCACGATTTGATAAGTTCTCCTCCAAGCAAGGCAGAGAAACTCAATCTCCACGAATCGGCTTCAAATTCTGCATATGTGAGATTCACAACATGTTAGTGATGCTACTTCTTATAAAACACCCCCTCACTATTCTCGTAGCAACCACTTCAAATACAGTTCTAGCACCTTCGTGCCTAAAACATGCATAAATCAGTAGCTAGCAAAGGACAAAGTTGTAAAATCGCACATAAGATGCTCGCAGAGTGTTAACTCCCTTCCATAGCACTTTGTTTGATACTGTAAGTCTTGCAAGTGCCGCAGTGCTAAGCCTGCGAATCAATACAATCTTATTAGAGAAAATGAAAAGCACATCAATTCACCCACGGTAGCTGATATGAGCCCAAAGCTGCATGGTACAGTGGTAAGAATAAAATCCGGCTGATCAATTACCCAAGAATTGCAGCACATTCCGAGATAGAGCCTTTCGTAGCCTCAAGCAAGTCAAGCAAAGGCTGAATTCCCTGCAATAAAGTTATTTTCAAGATTTACTGTAATCAGTTCACTATGCTCATATTATCGACTGAAGCAACAGAGCGCTAATTTCTGAAAACATGCGAAACAAATCGATACATTAATATATATATATATATATATATATATATATATATATATATATATATATATTAAAAAGAAATCAAACAAGCTGCGATTTAGTGGATCAATTAGAGCAAAAATATAATACAATATAATACAATATAAAAAATGAGATCAAATAGCATGATGAGGAAGCCAACCAGGACAAAATTAAAATGATTTGGGCCAATCTGCTCCCCCCCCCCCCCCTCTCTTACTTCGTGTCTGAGGGGTGGAGGGCAATATGCGCATCAGGTCAGGTGGAATTTGGTATCTCTTCAATTCCACTGGCTGCCTAACTATCACAAATCCATGCCAATGAAACAATACCACATCAGAATTTCTAAATTTCAAAAGAACTAGAAATTCCCACGATGTCGACTGAGTCATACGAAAAATGCGACCAAACAAACTACACTAATGTGAACAAGGGAACAGGAGCAGGATGTGTAACAAAACACACAGTCACCTGTCACAGCGATCACCTCCCTTAACCTCTTGAAAGCCTTGGTTCGATTCTTATGTTGGGACCGGTCCTCTGCTGCCTGTCAAATGTAAACAGCTTGGGTGAGTGTGGCACTGCCAGAACAAACAACTCTCCTCAAACAAGTGAAGCCAAACACATTGCAGTGATTCATGAGGGCTGTACCCATTACAATGACACATGCACTACCGCCGCGGTGCATTAACGACGGCAATGAATGTGATGCTGAAGTTTGAAGATGCAATAAGTAAAAAATGTCAAAGTAGGTTACAAAAAAATTACGAATGACACGAGTCCAGTTGGCAGATGTAGCAGCCGCACAGCACTTTCAGTTTTATTCCTATGTTGCCCTCCTGGACCAGAAGATCGTAGAGTCTCTACCCTACATTGCGCCTGAAGCTCCCGGTCCGTCAGTCTCAACCAGTCCAAGTCTGCGACTGATCCTAGTTCTCTCTTACGGTCTGCAGTAGTCGCACTAAACAACCTTTCTTCAGCCTTCCAAGTATCAACACTCTCTCCGTCTTCGCCAAACACTTCTCTGAACAACACTACTTCTGCTTCACCTTCTTCATCCTCTGTCATTGGTGGTGAACTGATGTAGCGGCATTCACGTAGACCGTGCCAATAGACTCTCTCCTTCTCACACGCACCACGAATCTCGCCAGGAGCATTGTGCGCAGCGCAGGTGAGGGAAGGGACAAGCAGCGGCACGTTACGTTGCGCTTGCACATACGCAAGAGGCCGTAGCAAGGGAGACATCTTAAGCCATGGCAATGCTTTCCTCATTTCAACGCCTAACAAATCCGCAACACTACTCTCTCAATCTCTCGCTCTCGCGCTCTCTCGCGCGCGCGTGCGCGATCCCTATCCTGCTCAACGCTCTATTACCTTCTAAGCAAAAGAAAATTCCGGCGAACTACGAAAGAGATCGTACTTCTGCATGCTATCCGCTCGACAATCTCCTCAATTCCTTTGCAAAATGCTCCTTCTTCTTCTTCCGCTCTGAGGATTTCGGCTGCGACGACGATCAACAAAGCTTTCGCAAGCATTGAAGTGAGTGAATGCTCCTAAGAAAATCCTCGAGCTCTCAGTGAACAGGCAACTCTCCGATATCCGCTGACGCCTAGTAGGTATCAATCGAAACCGGATATCAGCTCCAGGGGTATAATACCATGCCCGGTTCTCGCGCATATCGTGTTAAAGATAGATGTTTATTTTAATTTATTTTAATTTCAAACTCTCGTTTATTTAATTTTTATTCAAAAATATTTTTTTATTTTTATTTTCTTTGTATCAACCAAAGTTGGAGCAATATTGTAACATGATTTGATTTTTAGAGTGGATTGATTTATTTTTATGGTGCAATTGCTTCTAGTTTACGAGTTGTTATTCTATCTTCAAATAAATATTAATTTCTGTAATTTAAAAATAAATAAAATAAATAAAAATACGGTTGGTGAAGTGCTACAGTTTGAGTACAATATAAAACTTTAAAACAAATTTTCTTATTTTGTAAATTCATAATTGATTTCACTACCTGTGGACTCTTGACACTATTATAAATTAATGTCTTGAGAATTTATGTGGATAGACCATAACTTCTAATCTGATTGATAAGAAATATATTTTTAAAAATACACGTGTATTTTAGACAAGCTGCAAGACATCATTTCTTAGCTAATGCATAAAGAATATTCAGTACAAAAAAAATTAATGTGAATGATTTGGAGCTAGAGCTATATATTTAACTGATTTATGTTTGTAACCTAAAACCAAAATTTGAAGTTTTGTCATATATTTTAATCCTTAATATGTCAAATGATTTTCACATAGTAAACATGTTCCAGACTCTTCTGTGCAGCACCTACATATATAGTGTGTATTACACACACCATTTTATTCTATGAAAATGTATTGAAAATGATTAAATATTTTAGAACACAACTATCTGAAATGAAAACACGAAAGACAAAAATTCTAGAATAAAACAAAATGTGAGCAAGAATATGATCTGGGTGGAACTTGGCACTTATTTTCAATTTACTAGTATATACAATACTTTCATAAATAAATAAATATGTCTTTAAATGTCTTAAAACTATAAATTGGGATGTTAGAATTTCAACATTTTACAAGTAATTAAAAATATGTATTCAATACATCAATATTAATGAAACGCTAATGTTGTTTCTTCTAATGGAGTGACTAATCCACACTGCAGTGAATTTCATGGAATTTGTACAAGAAATATTGTATGTTTTTATGCAACAGAGAAAGAAATAATTGTGTGAGGTTTTTTTGAGAGTATCTAACTTTACGTTGATTAAATGATGACAAAGAGATTTTGCAGTTTTTGATTGATAAACAATTATTCCAAGTTTGTGTATTAGAATGATGTAATATGAATTCAACAAATAAAAAATATATTTCAAAATCATTGAGACTTTGTCACAAACACTCCCTACTCCCACAAACTTCTGTTTAATTAAACACTCCACTAGAAGATACTTCTATTTTTTTCTCACAATAAAGTGGGTCAAAGAAGAATATGGTGAAGAAAAATGTTAAAAAAATTCTAGCAAAATTTGAGATGAGTGTAATGACTGGAGAATACAAATCCTGCTCAAGAAACAAGGAAATTCAATTTTCAAATAATTCATGGTTGAAAATCTACAAACAATCATTGACAAAGGCCACTCACATGTTGCTTTTGGATCCTTGATTGTAAGACACCCCAAAATGTCAAAAGAGGATGTGAATAGATGACCAATCCATCCAAGAATAGATTAAACCACATGCATCTTCATTTTTGTGTAGAGTATTTTCTCCAACCTATTCCCTTCCTTTAAGACCCTTACTACAACCTTAGACTTACAAGTGGATCACCTCCACTCAAAAGAAACAAAATAATTATTGTGTTCCGGGTACCCATTCCTTGTATAAATGTATATTGTTGAAACCGAGAAGTGTTGGTAGGATATTGAAGAACATTGAACTCAATGTCTGATCTTTCTAGAAGAATCAAGGCAACCTGACTTGACCGGAGGAATGTTGGGGACTTTCAGGCAAGAAAGACCAGAATGTAGCATGTGAAGAAGCACAAAGAATTAGGGTTTCCGGTTCTGTCTTGGGCCAATGTGCAACAAGGGAAAATATGATGGTATGAAATTAGGGTTTCAAGTCTTGCTCGACAAGGTCCTCCAAAAATGCCACATGTGTTAATAATGATAATACTAATTATGTTGACATTTATCCAAAATTTTGTATATTTTAAGATTCACTTCTAGTGTGTTTTGTAAATGTAATGACACATCCTGCTTGTACACATTGTTGAAATGCAGATTTGCAACAAGAATATAATTCAAAGTTGTTGATACAGTAGTAATGCTTTGGGACATTATACTGTATAACTTTAGTGTGTGAAGTTTATGTTGGATGTATTTGTTTTTTGTTTGTTGATGATCATGAACATGTTGTTGTTTTTATTATGATACTAGGATTATGTTTACATTGTGGCTTTTTATTTTTTTTATTTTTACAAAGATTATTAGCTTGTTTATGATATTAATTTTGAGAAAGACTAAATTATAAGGGTTTGATACTCATATCAAGTTAACTTCTACATCAAACCATCGATATAATGTTTGGCTTAAAGTTGCCACTATGTAATGGATATCAAGTGTTTTTTTTTACATGCAATCAATTAAATATAACAATAGAATGGAAATATTATCTACTTATTATACACTACAAAATATACAATATAAAACTATTTATTGTATGCATACACATGTATTTTTTTTTTTTTGAAATTAAAAACATTTGGAGTCTTGTGTTAAGAAACGAAAAGTGAACAAGACCCACAATAATCAAAATAATAGCAATAACAACAACATTCCATGGGCATAAGAGTTATTGAATTACAAGTAGTTCCAAAGTAAACTTATGTGCTTACAAATAAATGCACTACCAACACCAAGTCAAAAGGCCAAGACTTGTGTGTGAAAGACAATAATGGGTTAGTGAATTAAAACTATATTTCACAATGCAAATGTGGTTTTTGAAAACCATGAGTCTTGATCTCATGAAATTTGATCAGTTAGAAGCTTATTTAAGGAAACATTCCCTGGACACCCAATAAAAAAGCAGATCTCCAAACCCTATTTTAAATCTATTTAAACTGAAGGAATTGGGCGCTAATGGGGGGGGGTTCGATCGAGAGCACACGTGAGCAAGCGGGGACAGTGGTGTGAAAGCAGATAAATCCGAACCCGTCCTCCATTCCAGGTCATCAAAAAAGATGTCCACGTCAGATTGGAGCAGGGGTCAGGAAGCTGAGGTGGCAGAATGGGACCCACGAAGAGCTTTCCGGCCTGGCTCACCTTCCCCACCCACCAAAAAAACTGTGGAATTGCTCGCCTCGGAATTTCTGCACTGGGAGGGAGGATAAATAGATCGCAATTTCTCAAGCTTTCGATTCCTCTTGTTGCGTGATTTGATGACCAGGTGATGCTAATTCTGGCTAGAAATGCGCATGCATTAATTTGGGTGATATCTGAGCTTTTTCCCACGCCGACCTCGTTCTCTTTGGCGAGTTGTGTGTGAGCTTTTTTTGTTTTTTTGTTTTTTTTGTGTGCAGGATGTGGCGAATTCTGTTCGGCGAATTACTGATCGCGTGATGTTGTGATAGTTCGTGGTGGTTGAGGTCGTTGCGATATGGGAATCGAGAGATACGCAAGATTTTCCCTTGTGGGTTGTGAGGTTCTGGTGAAGTTGCCTCTGTAGACTGACTACACGAGGGGTTGTCAGTGGCATTGACTCGACATGGGGGATGTACATGAGTGTTTCTCCAGATTGCGGATGAGTGCCTGCCATTCTCCTCCATTGTGAGCGTGGGGGTGCTATCCTAGGGTTTTTGATTGTGTAGGGGTGCTGCTATTTGGCTTTTTTTTTTTTTTTTTTTTTTTTTTTTTTTCTTCCCTCCTCCTTCTGGGTACCGATGTGGGTTGTTGCACGGAGGAACGCGTGGATTTTTTTTTGAGTCGCATACCATCCATGACCAAGCAGCGGGAGCTGCTGTCGGTGTCGACTTTACCGAGGTGAGCTGCATTATGGTGGTCGGCAGACTGGCTTCTTTATTTGTGCTGTTAGAGACCAATTTGGAAGTCTTATCTTACGCTTGATTGGCGGATAGATATAAGTCAATCGTACTTGTCTGAAAATTACGCAGGAAAGCGCTCAAATGAAATTGGATTTTAGTATTTTGGGAATAGTGTTTGCGACTTGCGACGAGTTTGAAAAACAGAGAGGGGGCGACGGGGTGCATGCTCTGATTGAGGTGGGAGAAGTGATTGCCTTCGCTTCTCTAAGCTCTTTGAGATATGGAAACTCTTACCGCCACTTGGAATTCGTTATTCGTTTTGATTTGTAAATTCAGTTGGTTATGGCATTGATTCTGAGAGAAGGGTTTGAGGTAGAAGCTCTCCTGATAATTGTCTCATCAGAAAGTGCAGTGCATGGAGATTTGGACGTTGGTCTGGGTTCCAGTAAGAAATGATCAGGATGATAATTGTTTAGAGAGGGCTTGAGGTTGCTCCGTGAAGGGTTGTAATTTCGCTTAACCTTTCTCGTAAAATTCATCCTTTATGTATGAGCGGCATGTACATGGAAACTTACACGGAAACCCGAGGTTTGTCTTCGTCATAGCTAGTCCAGTCGTGATTGATAGAAACTCATGCAATCCTCGGGCGATCTTTACTCCAAACGAAGGTAATGGACCTGGTCAATGTTCGTGTCCATCAGGACTGAGAAGGAAAGCTCGTGACTACACATTTGAAACGATTGTTGCAAAAACATTCATGGCTTTTCTGAAGAATTGTAACAATATTACGGGAGATTGACCTCGATTGACGAGGATTGACTTTGATCGACCTTGTTGACTTTGACTGTTTTTGGAATTTGTGTATTCTGGAAATTGATCAAGTCACACAACAAAAATATTTATTTATTAATTTTTCAGCGTGAGCAGTGCCTGAACCCGTACACATAGCAAAGAATTTGCTATGTTGTGGCGTTTAAGTGCATCACACGATGAATTTAACGAGTCCCCTTGCACAAGACGAAGGTGCTTCAGAAGGTGAGCCTTTGGCATCAGCAGACGCACTGCAATCAGGATCTCTTCCAAAAATAGTCGGACCTCACCGGAAGACGATCTGCTCCCTATTCAGTAAATCAAAGACCACTAGGGTAAACATTTCTGATGCAATTTGGGTCGCTCATGAAATCACCGATCAGTTCATATGCTGCCATGCATCAGATTAGAGAATATCTGCTCCCCTTCATGTAAACCTAATGACTGGAAAGTACCTTATTATAACTTACTTGGGAGAGTAGTTTTAGGTATGCAATTTGATGGCGTAGGCAATTTTAGACTTTTGGGTTTCTATGGCGAGGAAGACGACGTGCTGACTTGGCGCCTGTTACAGATGGAGCAAGATGGTGGAAAGCATCAGAATGGTTGGATTCATTCATGCTCTCAACGATCAGTAGAAGAACACCTTCAAGAAACAACGATTGGAGATGGCGGCACTCACCTTGTTGAGTTCTCCAATGCCATGCGAGGTATAACCTGATACTCTTTTCTTGTAAAATTCGTATCATGCAACGAACCAGTCTGCATTTAGTTATAGAACGTGAGTGTATTCTTCAGTTTTGGCGGGCTATTAACGCGAGTGTTTCACAGCTGATATTTACCTGGGTTTCTCATAAGTGATCATTATGTCTATAGCTGTGGAAAAGGCTCTTCGGCAGGTGGCTGCGAGCAAAGGAAGAGCTCAAGATGAAGCAGCTGAGTGGAAACGAAAGTACGAGATGGAGCGGCTGCGAGCTGCTTCTTTGGAACAAGAACAACAAGTGCTTGAGCAGGAGTTAGAGCAATGCCGGTCACCCCCTGGTTCGTGAAACATCTTTGATTCCTTATAAGGGTGGTGAGCATTACATATGTCTTTGTTTTTATCTTAAATTTGGTAACTCTTATTCATGCATATGTGAGGAGTTCAAGATAGATCTTATCTTTCTAGCCCGTCACTTCAAGATTTTCAGTATGTTTTCTATGATCAGATCCTTGGACTTCTGATGAACCACTGGAGTTGGAGAAAGCGGACACCGAGAATGGCGAACGAAGCCCAGTTGGCTCTGCGAATGGATGGTTTCCTCTTCATGTCAATTCTGATTGTTGCAAGAGAGAAGGCATCTGCTCTCAACAGTTACTGCGCAGCCATAGTAGTTCATCTGGCAACATATCGCTCCTGTCTGAAGTACAACCGGTTGCAGAGAAGGTGTGTTGTACTATGTGCATAGCCATGGGTTTGTCTCTGAAAGTCTTTTAAATCACCTTCCATGTTATGATTCACTCCATGTGTGAATTTTCGATTGACTTGGTTTCCTATTTCACAGGCGTCTTTCAGGCTGGTATGGGGTTGTGCAGGCAAAGTCTCGCCAAGGCACAAACATGATGTTGTGTCCTTTGAGTGTGGAAACATCTCAACAGCAAGTCGAAGTAGCAAACAGGTGCAATTCCCTTTGTACTATGGATTTCTGTAGTTCTGGTGATTGTGGAAGCTGTTGGATATTATGGTGGAAGACTGTTGGTTAGTCGTCTTGCCTGGTAGCATACTCAGTTGAACTCTGGATATGCTTGTCCAAGATGTCTTTATGTCTGATTGAGGGTCATGTTTCATGTAAGCTGCTTGCAGATAACGTTGGTGTGGGATTCACCTCCTCAAACAGTTTTAATTATCTCAAAACCTAATTCCCCAACATGCACTGCACTCTGCAAAGAGATGATCAGGTTGGTTTTCATCAAATTGCTGCTGCTTAGTGCAAAGTCTTTTCTATACTGTTTAAATCAGGCCGGAATTTGGACTCAACAACCACTTGCCACTGTTTGCATAACAATTCTAGTGGTTAAACTTTTATTTTGTGACTTGGAGCCGTTTAGCACTTTTCAGTGTTTATGTGATACAATTTAACGTGCAGCGTTCTGCACAATGTGCTCTTCAATCTGGCCGGTGAATCCGTAAAGATTGAATTTCTGACGATAAATTGTTGCACCACTGGTCCTGTCAGGTTAATAATATTGAAAGCATTCAAAATATTTGGATCAAGAGCACGTATGCTTACCACTTACTCCCGGTTGTCATCGTCTTGCCTACAGATGGCTAAGGGAGGAGAAGGGAGTTGGAGTGTACCTAGAACCTCCTATGAAGAAGGAGATTTTGGCCGAAGATTATTTTAATTGCGTTAAATCTTGTGAAACAGGTGCACATTTTGGTGCAGTTGAAGAGTGTGATTTATCATGCACATTATCACACACAGTTGCAACTGCACTTGCATCACTTAATGGAACTCTGAGAAGTGCTCATCGTGTTTCAAGTGATTAACTGTTCCATGTAAAGAAATTTAATCAGCAATGAGAGGCCAGCTGCTTCAATGAGTGCTGCTCTCTGCAAACCTAGGGAATATTGCAGTCTTTGGTTTGTACTGAGTTGTGTGCTTTTGATCAGTGTCAATGTTCTTGTGCTCGTTCTCTTTACAGAAGAAGAAGTATTGCAGCTGCATACCAAAGTGGATCTGGTAATCACGTTGGGTGGTGATGGGACGGTTCTCTGGGTAATTTTCTTAAAGAACCATTTTATCTTTTTAGGAACTGGTTTGAGTATAGATTGAAGAAAGTATCTCTAGCATGCGAAGTTGATTTGCACTTTCCTTTTACCTAAGTATCTCTTTTATTATCTAACTACCGACTGGGTCTCTTTCCTTCAATCAGTTCGAATTATAATTGTAGGATGGTTTATGTTTCTTATACTCGTTAACCTTGGAGTACGTCTGGTTTTTACAGCAAATAATGTCGACCTTGATATTTGGATCTCTCTTTGTTGCCCTCTCTTCGGCTAACATATTTTTAATTTTTACTAAAAGGTGATGGAATGATGTTTTGTGCAGGCAGCGAGTATGTTTAAGGGTCCTGTGCCCCCTGTCGTGTCTTTTTCCATGGGCTCCCTTGGTTTTATGACCCCATTCCGTATCCTGCATTTTTTAGTTTATCTTCTGAAAGTTCCCTAGATATATATTGGATGATTTTATACCCGTCTTTTTCTCTAAAGTTGTTCTCTGTGCCACGACTACAGCAGGTCATTGATTTGGAACCAGTTTCTTCTATATGCTACTCTTGTATAAATCATGTCTGCATCAACTTTCCGGTCATCCTTGACCTTATTCCGCTACAGAGAGTGATCGTTATAAAGAATGTTTGCAAACTCTGATAAAAGGCCCTGTATATATTACTCTTCGTCATCGGCTGCATTGCCAAATTTTACGGAACCCTGACAAAGTGAAGGAAGGTGAAGATCCCTGTGAATCAGAAGTTCATCTTGTGTTGAATGAAGTAGCTATTCATCGAGGCATGTCGTCAAACCTTTCAAACCTAGAATGCTACTGTGACGGCAACTTCGTTACCAGCGTGCAAGGAGATGGTCTTATTCTTTCTACTCCGTCAGGAAGCACTGCTTACTCTTTGGCAGCTGGCGGTTCAATGGTTCACCCTCAGGTGGGTTGTTGCGACTTCTTTTTAGGAGGATGTTTTCTATCTTCTCTGACTTGTTTGCCACCAATCATACACAGACCTTTTAGACGATTATTTTGTGCTATTATTTGCTCCTTTTTTTTGTTTTTTTTGGACCCTAGAGCTCTATGTAAACTGCAATTACAAAGGATTCATGTATTGTAGACACGATTGAATGTAGAAGCACTAGTGTATGCTGCATACATATAAATCTCTTATCAGCAGAAGACACTATTGCACCTATGTTATGTTTCTTCTTCCAGAATTTAGATTGGGCATTTGGAAGCAGAAAGATACGACAACGTTATTCTGTCAGACATATGTTCCTTGTTTCATGTTTATTCCTCGGATTGGGATGTGATGCTTTGTGTGTGTTTCATTTTGCAGGTTCCGGGTATTCTGTTTACACCAATTTGTCCTCATTCATTATCCTTCAGACCATTGATTTTGCCCGAGTATGTGACCATCAGAGTCCAGGTTAGTTCATCTTTCCGTGAGCATCTGCCGACATCAATTGTCCGAATGACAAGTATCATTTGTTGTCTTTGTTACTCTGGTACCGCTTTAAGAATAGACCGTAAAGCAAAAGCTTTCATTACTATGGATGCAAAGATAACGAGGATTCTGACATAATATGGGCTATCCAGCACTTGAGTGGCAATTTTTAAACCTCAAGCAGGTTCACTTCAACATTGCATATGTAAATTCCAGTTTATGCAAAATGTTCGGGATATCTCCTCATAATGAATGGTCTTCAGTGTGGCCTTCAGATTGACAGGTTTTCGGTGTTTCCTTGTTTAACAACATAATGCTCATGACATGCAAATCGCAGGTGCCACATGAGAGCAGGGGACAGGCTTGGGTTAGCTTTGATGGGAAGGACAGGGAGCAGCTAAGTGGAGGGGATGCTCTGATATGTCGCATGGCTGCATGGCCTGTTCCGGCTGCTTGTGAGCAAGAATCCACCACAGACTTCCTTAGAAGTGTTCGGGAAGGGTTGCACTGGAATCTTCGTAAACGTCAGCTATCTGACGGACCCATCTCCACCTAGTTGCTCTGTAAATTATTATCTTCAGCAATTTAGTGGAATACTATTTCATTGCAAACTCAGATAGAGGATTAGATTAGTACTAGAACGACGTTGTGATCCATTTTTGGTGAATTTCATGTCGTGTACCAGCTACGCATGTATTTTTATTTTATTATTTCTCTTATTGGGTGTTCCGATCAGGTTTTCTATCCAGACTGTGCAGTTTATTCCTGTTGTACCAGTGAAGCTAGCTGACGTAGATTGCTGGAATTTTAGTTCATGTCCCTGTTCATCGTATCAAAACTTGGGGTCCGACACTGTCATGCCCATTATTCGTTGCTACAAGGTCGCATCGAGGACGTGTCAAAACATTTTTCCACACATCACAAATGATACCAGGAGATCTTGTGAATAGCCACACTATTCTTGTAGTTTTTCTTTGACAAAGAATTAAATTATAAACAATGTATTCTAAGGATAAATACTCATTTACCACATTCAGCAGCTAAAAAATAAATAAACAATTGAACCTCCACTAGTTAATACAACCTATTACAAAGAGAGGGATTAATTGATGGAGGATATTAGATATATAGGGAGATGCATAATGATATGTGACTTCTCCTCTCCTGATGTGCAACTTCTTTCCTCCCTCCTAATGCTCATCCCTCTTCATGCTTATTTCCTTCCATCCTCTCTATAAAAAAATTAACCAACAAGCATTGATTACAAGTATGTGAGCACAAGCAACTCCATTCTAAAATCTTCTAAAATCTTGTAAAAGGATTTAGATAAATGGACAAAATAATAGTTTAGTATGTCTAAAGTTCTACCTAAGGCACTTTGAGCAATATTTTGAAGACAAGAAGCAAATATTAGAATATGATACATATAAGGCTTGTAGAATAACAAACTTGCACAACTATTTTTTTTCTGAATTGGACATTACTCTTGCAAACTTGGTATTTCAATGATGAGCTTGTTGATTAGTTTTGTTATATGGTGATGATTATAATAATAATAATAATAATAATAATAATAATCAAGCGCAAAAGTTTATATACCAATTGGGCATTGATAAGGTTTTAAAATTTTTCACCGTTTGGCTATTCATGTTCTAAAGTTGTCACAAATTTAAAGAAGTGAAGTTACATAGTAAAAATAGTTATGTTGATAGTGCATCCATTGAACTTGAGATGCCTATGATATAATCAAGGATAGCACATAATGAATCCTAGAATGTATATAATATAGACAAAACTTTACTCTTTGATTGCAAAGCACTTCACAAAACTGTTGTCCAATAATAAATTAAAGGTTATAAAAAGAATAAATCCAAAAACACAATTGGATCAAAGAGAGTATTTTTTATATATTTTTATTGGATATATTACAAAACCACAAGCCTTCAATTAAAAAAGTAGCAACCAACTTAGATTTTATTACTAAAACAATAAATAATCTTAGATGATTAGACTTGAGTTTTTTTTAAGGACATGAATCACAAAGAACTAAAAGGTCAATACACTCTTGTGTTATTAAAAAAAAACTAGAAAATCACTCAAAGATGATATAATATTAAATTAAAATGGCTATTGCTAAAAAAAAGAAGATTAAAAAGTCTTGAAATAAGACTATGGACTAGAAAGGCATTGACAAGAGTGAAGAAGACTTCACTCTTGTTTCCATATATATTCTCTAACTATGAGTTATATGGCAATATTTTATAGGACCTCCAACATGTGTTGACTTTGCTAGACACATGGCTTAACTTGCAAGGCAAGTTATCTATATGTGTGCCACATAGTTAGTTTGTTCTACAAGCAATTAACATGTGTGCCACATGACTAACTTGTTGACTATGTTTTTAGCCTATCAATTAACTATAAATACATGTAAAGTTAAAGAAGCATTTATGAAGCTTTTAGGAAGCTTCTCTAGAAGATATTATAAAATTAATTTAGTTTTATCAACTTCTACTTAATCATATAAGTAATTATTGGAGTAAATGTGTATATTCATGATATTATCTTTCATTCTTGGGATGAGTTCCATGAGGAGTAATTATCATCTCTCATAGATCTTTTAATTCTTCATCTTGGTTTTGATGGATGTCTTTGATGAAAACCTTAAATCTTCTTTATTGTATTTCCAAGATTATTTGTCGTCTTCCATGTATATTCACATATATCATATCTGTGCCAATGAACAAGATATTCCAATCTACTTTAGCATCGCCTTGAATCTAAGACTTCTTCTACCTTGAACTTTTGATTATTATCCACTTTTATAAGAAGAGGTGGTATTTATCTTCTTTTCAAGATATTCATTGTCTTATATGGTTCAAGAAGAGATATGTAAAATATGGAATGGATCTTCATAAACTTTGAAAGATGTAATCAATAAGCAATAGAATTGACTTGTTCACAAATAGGAAAAGATCTAAGTCTATGATAGTCCAACTTGTCACAAAGATGAGTAGTCTTGATATTATGACAAAATAGCCATACTTTGTGAACTACAATGAATTGTGGTTTTTTATTTATTTATTTATTTTTATTTTTTATAATAGGCATCCACATAAATCTTTTGTTGTTCTTGAGCTTCTTTTAACTGCACCTTTATTGTTGCATATAAATTTAACAAATGATTTGCGAAATTTTTTATTACAAAATTATTAACTTTTAAAAAGTTAAAAGTATCAAGTCATAGATAATAACCATAATTGATAAAAAAAAAGATTTTTTATTGAGTTGAAGAATGTACCAAATTATTATAGGCAAATTCTATCAATGGCAAAAGAACTGTCTAATCATCTTAATGATAATTGATGGTACACCTCAAATATTGCTCCAAAACTTGAGCCACTTATTTTGTTTGTCTATTAGTTTGAGGATGAAAAGTCAAAAAGAGCTTTATATATATGTTTAAAATCTTGAAAGGATTTTCCAAAATCTTGATACAAATTGAGTTTCTCTATTTGATATAATATCTTTGGCAATCTATGATAGTGATAGATATTGTCAAGAAAAAACTAAGCAGTTTCTTTACTTGTGATAGATTTTATACATGGTACAAAATATGCTATCTTAGTAAAATAATCTATTATCATGAGTATAGAGTCATATGAACTTAAGACATGAAGATCTATCATAAAATCCATAGAAATAGAAGACTATGCTTGTTTTAAAATAAATAATGGCTAAATAAGTCTATAAGATCAATGACAAAGAGTTTTTGATCTTGAATTAATATCATATGATTGTATAAAGTCTTTAATTGTCTTCTACATTTAAAGCCACCAAAAATATCTTCATATTAGCTCCAAAATTTTGTTGTATTAAAAATGTTCAACTCCTAGAAAGTCATGATGAGCTTGAAGAATATGAAATCATACTTTACCTTCTAAAATATATAATTATTCTTTAAAATAAAATAGTTTATTTTTAAACTCAAACTTGAAAGTACCATGAAATTTACATGAATCCTTCTTGATATCATGAACAAGAAGATCAAAGGATATATTTCATTGATTTTTCTTCACAAAGGTTGAATCAATAGTCAATACTGATTTTGTTACTCAAAGATGAAAATACTCTAGCTTCAAGAGAATTATTCTTTGTTGATTAAAAGCTCCATCTCCTTCTTTTGGTGTAATATAAGAATATTTAGAAAAAGCATCTAATAAATCTTATTGTTTTTAGGATCTATAAATAAACTTGAAATCAAATCTTAATAAATATATACTCTAACAAGCTTAGCAACTTTAAAACTCAAGCTGACATGAAATACTCGAGGTTCTTGTGATCTGTATATATAGTGATTGGACTACAAGCACCTTCTAGATAATGATGCCATTCTTGAAATGAATCTACAATTGCAAGAAGCTCTTTGTCATAGATCTCATAGTTAATTGCAGTTGTTAAAAATTTCTTGAAATGAAAAGCCATTGGGTAGAGCTTATCATCTACTTTTATTTGTAACAAAACAACACCTATAGCAAAATTGGATGCATTTATTTTTATAAATAATATCTTAAAAAAATTGATGTAATATAAAATTGGTATAAAAATAAATGTTATCTTCAAGGCTTCAAAAGATGCTTCACTTTCTTTGCTCTACTCAAATTTATCTTTACATATTAGGCATATAAGAAGAGCCACAATTTGAAAAAAGTTCCTGATGAAGATCCTGTAATAATTTGACAAATCTCAAAAAATATTATACATCTCTAATTATTTTTAAGATCTTCTAATCCATGATAGTTTAGACCTTTTTTTGGATCTATCATTAGCCATTTGTTGGAAATGATGTATCTTAAGAAGTCAACTTGAATAGTGTAGAATACATATTTTTTTATTTTTTTTATTTTTTTTATTTTTTTATCTTGGCATATAATTGTACATCTTTAGGTTTTTGTAATATATGACAAATATGAAGTTCATATTTTTTTTGTGTTCTTAGAGTAGATTAAAATATCACCTAAATAATAAATAATAAAATCATTAAGAAACTCACATTCATGAAATGTTGAAAAACAATTGATATATTTGTAAGTCTAAAAGGTATGACATTATATTGAAAATATTTATAGTTAATTTGAAAAACAATCTTTTATTCATCTCATCATTTTATGTAGATTAAGTTGTATGGTCATCACAAATCTATTTTTGTATATATCTTTGATTGATTGAATTGATCAAGAAGTCCTAAAATCAAAGGTATGGATTACCTATTCTTGATGGTAATTTTGTTAAGTCTTCAATAATCTATGCACATCCATAGAGATTTCTCATTTTTCTTCATAAATAAGATAAAAGCTCATATTGGAGATTTCAAATGGCATATGCAATTTTTAGCTAAGTTCTTGTCAATGTACTTCTTTAATGCAATCAACTTATTTTGCGATAAGCTATAGGTTTGTCTAAATATTAATTAAACTCTTTCTTATAAATCAATTAAACAATCATAAAGTTGATGCTTTAAAAGAATATCTCCATTCTTCTTTTCAAAAGTAACCTAAAAATCTTGATATTAGCTATAAATATCACTTAATGTCTTTTTATCATAAAAAATAGATGTGGCATATATAACAAAAGATGTTCATTCTTTTGCTATAATAATAAAATCTTTTGCATCTATCAAGAAGAATTTGGATGTACTAGACTCACATTTTTTTTACTTGTTTAATGGAATTTTGGATCAAATTATAA